GAAGCCGGCCAGTGTCACGAGTGCCCCGGGAGTCGCCGGCATTGAACTTGGCCGCCCGCGGCGGTTGGTTTTTATTTGCCGCGGATCGGTGGAATTTATCCGAGATGCGTGCTCTCTCTCCCTCTCGTTCTTGCCTTGCAAAAGCCGGCCGGCCGGCGCTCCTTTCCTATGCGTATATTATACGCTCGTCTCGGGACATTCACCGAGCAAAGGAGGACCCGACACTCGGCCAGCCCGTTCTGTTATGTATGGGCGATTTAATGTCGAACGAGCGCGCGGTTGTCTGTATATGGCTGTGCATAATAAATTCCCCGGCACCGGCTGACGTTGTTTCGTCATTCGTGAGTTTCTGCCTTTACTCTCCGTCCATTCGTGTGTGGCTCCTTTTTGTTTTGTTTCCTTTTACCGATGTTGGTAGAAAATGCGTTATGCGTTACCGGTTTCTTTTTTCCTCCCTCGGAGGTGTAGTCGCGAGGAAATGAATTCCAGCCGAGGGAGACTTATCGGGCCCTAATTGTGAGTGAAGCGCGCTTTTATGCTGGGGTGGGACAAAATTTACTCGACCAGAGGATGTATAAATTTCATTTTATATTTTTGCGGCTTTTTAAACGCTCGACATATTTCGTGCGTTATTTTCGATGGTTTTTTATTATTTTTTTTTTTATCAGCACTCAAGTTCGGAAATGCACGTGTCAGTTTCGTATATTTAATCTACTTTGTTTTTTTTCCTTACATCCCTTCTGAAGGATGTTTTTCTTTTAAAAATCAATTCCTCACATGCTTGTGGTGGCCAAATGTTAGAGAAACAGATTTGGAACCCATAGAAACAAGTGGGGGATCAAGGCCTAATCTTGGCATACTGTGCCCGTAGATGGCGTTATCAAAATAAAGTGATCAGATAAATTGAATAATCGATTAATATTAGGTACAAAATAATTTTTTTTGCATTTCTCCACCGTAATTTAATGAATAATTGGAAACTCAAAATCCTTAGGTGTTCAATGTTGGTCATGTCTCGGAGCGTTGCATGGTAATTAGCACCATTCCAAAGTATTCGCCCGAATGTTTCTTTTCAAAAATGAGACCACCCCCTCGAAATACCAGCAAAGTGCAGCAACTGCAGGTGCGACGCGGGCTTCAAGCTCGCGAAGCCCACTTGTTTGCTCTTTTTCTCGGCGTATGGTAGACTCGTAAAACTCCAGCCGAGTCGAGAGGGAAAAGAAAAAAAAAAAAAAAAAAAAAAACGAAGAGGAGGTACGAGAACCTCATGCAGTTCTCCCATTTACGAGCGGAAACATTATTAACACGAGCGGTGCTCGTCTTTCTTCTTTTTCTCCTCCCGACGCCCTTGCCCCTTTTTCCCGCTTCGCCTCGTCATCGCCCTCGCGCTCTCGTGTAGTCTCCGTATTATTTACTCGGGCTTTTCTCGCGTATACGCATCCAGCTCGTGTCCGCGCGGAAACTTTTAGAATTTGTTTCAAAAAGAAAAAAAAAAATCTAAAATTATTTCACGATATATAGTTTAAAAACGAGTCTACAACATCCATTGTGCTGTAACAATACGAGACGACCGAGATTCGCAAGCTTTTATTATTTCCAAGCTGCCCAGTTTTTTTTATCCCGGCGACCAGTGCATCCCAAAGAGCTACTCCCAAAAAAGCCCTCACCTCCTTTTCCAAAACTTCAAACAACAACGACCACTTCCTTCGCCCCGTCCATTCATCCGACCTCATTGAGCCCCTACACCTCGGCTCCTTCATCTCCACCTCCTGTCTTTCTTCGTAATTTTTTTTTTCTCTTTCTAAAATCCATTGTCCTCGCGGTGGCGCGTGGATTCTCAGGCAGCAGACACCACGACAGTACAGCTCGTGCCGCCGTGGGAAGGTTCTCGCGCACTTGAACTCGTGCAGCGCCTCGTACGAGCGCCTCCTTTTCTCTCCGTATCTCGTGCGGGCTTCGTTTTATACAAGTACACACACCACCACCGCGACGGCCGGAATTGAGGTGCGCGAGGCGACGACAGGCTCTTTTTTACCTGCAGCTGCAACGCCCTCCCCCCCCCTACCTCCCCCAACCTCATCACTGTGCAGCTTTTTATTTAACAGCCAATTGGTACTTGTGGATTAAACAGCGATACCATCAGTACGGAAATTGCATTTTATTATTTGAAAAATTACACACTTACGCATGAAAATATGTGCATTTAGCCAAAAATAAATCGAAACGGTACTCGCACGGGGGAATACAAAATCTGTCGTTCAAAATGCAGCGCCTGATTTTATCATCAATGCTTGTCCCAAAATTCACCCAATGGCCGTTAATCGGTCAAACAATGCAGGAATAAAAAAAATTCCCCTTCGGAAAAAAAAAATGACCATACCTATCCTGCTTCCACACGTGATGCCGGTGGACGAGACGCGCCGTAAATTAATACGAAATAATGAGCAGTACAGAGCTTTTTGCGTACTTGTAGGGTCACGTGAGTACAGATCCGTATGTATAAATATATATATATGTGTGTGTGTGTGTGTGTGTGTGTGTGTGTGTGTGTGTGTGTGTGTGTGTGTGTGTCTGTGTGCACGAGAGCTGATATAAAAATTTCAAAAGTGGAACATGAAAAACGTGTTTTTGCGACACAACGCTCCACTACCGGCGCCACACGGCGATTACGTTACTACACTTTATAGGAGGAGAGGCGCGCTATTCCAGCCGGCAGGCACCGCATACGCCACCCTTATTGCCGTAAATTTCATACACAGGCTGAAACCGTGAAGTAACATAGGCGCCGTACAAAGACTCGCGCACTTCTCTCTCCTCCGTTAACGGCACTCCAAGTGGGGGGGACCTTTTTTTCTTTTTTCTAACGATGAGAATCGGCAAAAGTGTTTATGTGCGCGGGTGTGTGTCTCTGACACACGACTAACTTTGATTGACGTCTGAAAATGGCACCCAACCGTAAGAATGGCCTTTTTTTTGACGAAGGAGTGGAGGATTTTCGTGATCTTGTCCCCAAATCGGTACAGTCGAGACATACTTTTTCTTCTTCCTACGCGTACCCATCGTATACTTTTTCCCTATTCCCTTTCAACCAAAAATATTCAAATCCCATATAACACAACATCAAGTATCATTGATACGTGTATCAACACATCACGTCCACCGTAACACGGAGGGGGACGAAGTGGCCGAAAACACCTTTGGCGCACTACGCGCATATAAATTTCGCCGCAAGTAGGTACATACACTTACCCGCACTCGCACTAAAAATAATATCCCGAGTTGCCCTCGGCATCTACCCGTACCCATGTACGGAAGACGAAACCCAAAATCAGAGGAGCTGCATCAGCGGCTCTGAACGTATAAATAACCGACAGCTACCATTGCCGTGGCTCATGCAAACGAATAACAATAACAGCAACAATAAGTGCAGGGCTCCCCGCACATACGTATATATGTACGTGCACACAGGTTTATACGTACAAGCGAGCCGGGCAGCATATAATGAGCCTTTATAATACAGCCCCCTCGCGAACAAGCTAAAATGCAATATTCAGAGAGAGAGAGAGAGAGGCTCGCGCCTTTTTCCGAAGGCTCTCGGGGGGCTTTCTCACGCCGGTGCAAGGCAGCATCGGCAGAAGCCCCCTCCCTCCCCGTGTAGGCCCCGAGGGCTCCTCTCTGCCTCTACATATTTATGCGGCAAAGGCCCCGTTCGAGGAGGCCGGTGAGATGCGCCGTGTAATGGGTTCACCGATGGAGGGAAGCCGCCGCGTGCATGTTACACGTTATGCACGTGCATCCCGTTGCCCCACTGACCGTCGACACCGCTGCTCTTTTGACGCTCCGATCATCCGCTCTGCCCGTGGGATCACGCATCTGTGTGGGCATACATTGGGCGCCGGATTAATTAATTACGATGGTTAATCAATCGCGGGCCATTGTGATGGGGTCACGGCCTTGGCTCAATCACTTTATTGGATATACCATCTGCTGCTATGGTTGTTGATCGTACACACAATGTACGATTATAACTGGATGGGCATGTAATTATTGGTAGTGCGTGGGGGTTGCAAAATCGAAAATTCGTAAGGAAGTGACGACCGTGTCGGTTTACGAGGGATGGCCTCGATACCGTGTGCTTGTAAATATATATATTGTTGCATGTATATGTATGACATATGTAGGTACACCGTACGGTACACCGATCGGATACACGTGTCCCATTGTTTTATCACGTGTGAACTTTGGACCGCTCTCGTATAGCCAATCTGGAGCACAAATTCGTGTTCCCGTTGTCTTGCGCTCGTCGGAGTGAACAAGTGATTACCGGTTCGCGTGCACCGCGGGTTTTGTTAGTCAATTAATTCACGCGTATATTTCCGTCCCCTATGTACCAATCAAAATTAGGAGGATATAGTACGATGGTAATATAAACTTAAAAATTGCAGAGCGAGAGCCGGACTTTTGCGCGTGCATACAAAAATATGTACGCCAATGGTAATAAAAATAGCCATGCCCATTAGCCTAGTGAGCCCGGACGCTAATACACTCCGAGGCTTCCCTAACGAGTCTTTCCTTGGGAGACGACGTTACGGGAGGGGGGGTAAATAGACGCGCGCGTAGTTTATACACGCAGCAGAAAAACAGAGCTAGGATGGAAAAAAGCTCGTTAAGGCACACCAAGACGGCGACGGAATAAAAAAAAAAGTGCGTGTGTACTGTACACGCATATGGGTATGCTCTTGTGTATACTGTATAGCATCGAGTGCCCTACAATAAACGGCAGACAACTCAAGGGGGGACTTAACGGTGCTCTCCATATATACACGTACACATATAATGTGAAAGATGACGCATTTCTTGGCATCATATAAAACAAACAAACATAATTACTTACAATGATGATGATAATAATAATAATAATAATAATAATAACAATGATGTGTATTACTGTGTATCAATGTTCACGTATATAATATGTGTGTCTCTCCTCTCTGTTGCAGCCGAAAGAACTCCATCGTTCTCAGGACCCAGCTATCCGTTCGAGTTCACACCATCATAGGTGAGTCTATACCTCTCTATAATATATATTACGTAGGTGTATATACTTTCAGCAACGACGACGTACACGTGCACGTATAGTTTGGTGTGTAGCCCACTTTGGTGCACACTTACAGGTATACACATATACGACGTACGGAAGCAACGAACATAACGACAGTGGGGAGGCCCCCGTATATGTGTATGTATGTGGGGAGATCGCGAGCACTGCTAGTATACATAGTTATACTACATGTAGGAGTGCAAATGAATCTTGGGGCCCGTGAATCGGGAATGGGAAAAATGTGTACGAGGCGCGCATTGTTCAAGAAGGTACCCATGGAGGATACAATGGCGCCCCCCAAATAAGGGGGTCACAAGTGCACGGGCAATCCAGAACCTAGTATCTATGGACCTTGTTACGTGGTGACACGACCGGGATAGGACGAGACGCACTCGGTGCAACGAGATGTTGTCCTGGTGTCTACACCCTTTGAGATAAAGAGGGGGGAGGGGGGCAAGCCAATGGGGCTGGTCCTCATTTAATTAGACGAGAGAGAGAGGGTCCCCGAGGGCTCTTTGGCGAGGGTGGATATATATATGTGCTTGACGGTTTAAAGAGGAGCACTCCGGTCGACGGATTAGCGACGAATTAGACGGGGCTTGTTACACGTACCTTCACGCTATTAAAGCAAGAGATGATGATGCTGCCGGGCTTTGCGCGGACTTTGTCGGGGCCGGAGGGGGGTTGGAGTAGGGGGTGTAGGGATTCACAGTCGCAGGAAAGCCGAGGAAGTGGATTCTCTCTCGGGATAGGCGCGTCGAAACGCGGTGATTAAGTGTCTCGGTGGGGGGAGTTACGTGCAAAAGTTGCTGCCACCGCGGGGATTTATGGAGATTTCATGAAGAAAAACCATCCCTCGATATAATAATGTACATCGGTGGAGGGATGCTTCGAAATTTTTAATTACTCATATGTACGCCACGCTCGTTTAATGCCGATTGTGAAAAAAAACGCAAAGGGACACAACATAATCGTACCATTTACCAGTTGAGGTGAAAAAATTTCGAAGAAAGGAGGTCACGGTTACATTAAATTATATACCCTCGGACTTTTGCACTGTTTCTCCTTGAAAGGACATCTACATTGTATTATTGATCAAACGCAGGCAAATAAAGTTACGTGCACACTGCGTTGACATATTCCAAGTTATATAGGGGCGTAAGACCGACGTTAGTGCGCTTGTATTATTGCCGTATGCCTACACGTGCACGCTTAATCTTAAATCTTTGGTTATGCGCGCGATTCCTTAATTGTAATTTTACGGGGAACGAGTCTATTTGCATCCCCCATTGTTAGTTTCGCTCTTTCTCTCTATCTGTGCGTATACATCCCGAGACCGAGAGTTTAGGAAGTGTTCCACTGCAGGCTCGATTATTTAGGTGTGGCTGGGCTTGCTCATTATGCGATTCGGGTCGGAATAAAGCTGTGCGCGTTGCAATCGCTTACGCGTCCTTACGTAACTGGGATGTAATGTGTTTCGTCAACATTCACGTGTACGCTCTAAATATACACAAATGGTTACTATAATGTGTGTATCCAATGCTTTTTTTTTGTTTTTTTTTCTTTTAACCTTCATGTTCTGTAAAATACCTTATTATTCAAATTGAAAACTCGGTATTTACACTCTTACTTCTTATTTGTTTGACAATGTAAATGCCAGCTCGTTGCTGTTGGAAATTCGGCGTTGGAAACTTTCCTCGTGTGTTTGCGTCCCAAAGAGATGCCGCTTTACCCAATGGTGCATGGACAACAAATAAAAAGGACACCGGAGGAGGAAGGTCTCGGTGATAAGGGGATACAACGAAAAAAACGGGGGGAGGGGAGGGGAAGAGGAGTACACGAGCAAGGAAAGATCGAGCACGTGTGTGTTCCGTTGTCTTACGTAAGGGGAAAGAGAGAGATCTTGGCGCGCAAAGGAGTAGCGATTCTAATCTAGTCGCGATCAACCAGTGTCGAATGGCCCTATATGGATATATATACACGTATAAGCGCGCGAGTCGTTGCACAGGCACCGTTTCGCGGGTCTCGCTTTCTCTCTCGCCCGCGACCGGTAGGGTTGTATATGTTCCATTGTGTTTTTAGCTGTCCGTGCGCTACCACTGCGCTCTGCCTTGTAATGTTTCCATTACCCGAGCACGACGGTTTTAAGCCGAGTTTTTCCATGGTTTTCATGGAAAAGGGGCTACATACGCTACGCAGGAAAAGGTGCGCTGATGGGCTCGTTCCTATGGTTTTGTACGAAAAAAAGTGGGTCATCGAGCCATTTTGGAGAAAAAAAAAGGTCACTCCTTACAATATTGAATAATCGTATATATAGGTGATGGGCTGTGCAGACGAGCTCTTGTGATATCGATGATTTTTTTTTTCCATCTCCTCAGAGATAAGCCGCACAATGCCAAATCGCACAATGAAGCCGTACGTCAAGTGAACCGAGCGTCTTTCTCTCTCTCCCTCTTGCTCTCTATATACACAACTGGCTCCAAAGAGAAGCCGATCCCGTCCATTCTACGTGAAATATCATCTCCCAAAAGCATCAATAACTTCGAACCGTATCGATATCCATACATCCTCTTCCTCTTGGATTACGTCTATAGTCTCCTCTTTATGTATATCTTCCATTGATATGGCCCTTTTTTTTCCTTCTTATTTTCCCCTCTTACGATCACTCGTGCATTTGTACGCTCATACGTAACACTATGTGTGTGTATTATGTCTTTCATTCTAGCTTGGGCACAAAAAATAGATAAATATAGATACTTCCTGCATTCAATCGAGTGGAAATGCATGCGCTCTTGAAGAAAGAGACAAATATACCCAAAGTCAGCTTTTGAGAATTTACTCTATGTTTGTGGATATAATTGTATACTTGTACATGGAATCTTAACGAACCTCATACTAACGATCTAGCCCTACTTCATCGATCGTCCATCCTACATTGTAATATCCAATGGCCATTATCGGCACTCTATGTCACCTTTGAGCGTAACGTTTTCATCCTAACTTCATATCCCTTGTTATTTATTTACCTTTATTTATTCGGAGGTGTGGAAATATTTCACGCGAGTCCTAGTATCCTGGCATTGGTGTCATATTTTTTACAAGCTACCTGCGCTACCGTACCAACATTTTTAAACCTTAATCGATTGAGTTGGCCAGGTTTTGTTTTTCTCTTCAATGGTTAACGGATTGTGGCTTTTTCTGCGAGTTCATATTGTCACCTTCAACTCCAAGGGCTCCGAGCAGATGAGAATGAGAAGAAACCACGGAAGAGTCAAAAATCGTCCTGGCCCCGAAATCCCGTGCGTTGAACAGTGAAACGTGAAAGGGAAGGAAGAAAAACTAATGAATCCCCGTGTAAAGTGCACACGCGCCAAAAAGATTGGTCGGCTCCTCTCGATTTTCGTCCAGAAACGGGAAATTGTTGTACTTTGCGCTCACCTCTTTCGCGGAGGCTGCACACGAGCGGGGAACCGTTAAATTATGTAAAACGCTCTCTCTCTCTTTTCTGAACGGCTGCACTTCGCGTGACTGAGATTTCCCTCTCTCGCGGCTCTCCAAATCAGCTGCATGGGAGATTTCGCTAGGAATCCCCGCCTCATCTTACGGGTGCTCCCGTGTAAACGCAGACCCGACGCTAAAAATACACCTGCCCCCTTACCTCCTCTCCCGAAAGAATCCATTCAGAGTCCTTTTTTCTTTTTCTCCCTGGTCCTCGGTACAACCGAGTATTATTTTAGAATTATTCCGCCCGCTCTGAAATATTTAGCGAAAGGGCTCGGCAGAGGTGCGTTTAACCGGATCCCACAATCCGAGAGCCACAGGCCATTACATTTTTTGGAGCCTCGAGAGAAATAGAGAGTCTGCTCGGAGCTGCCCCCTCGTTCGTTCCCCTCTCGCAGTCATATACATACATATACACACGTGCAAGCAGCGGGTCGGCCTTTTTTTTCCCTTCCTCCTCTCTCCTCTTCCGTCGGTTCCCTCCTAGCGTGCCTCCCCGAGGTTCAACGAACGAGGGTACGGCCGGCAGGTGGAATAATATAATACGAGATTGCTCGGCGAGGCTCCGGTTCTCATGGCCAAATTGCATAACCCCGATTCGCGACGCGCAGATTTTTCAATGCCACTTTTCATTACTGCCGATATATATACGCACGTGGCTCGTATAATGTAGGTACGGTAGTGGGGGATCCTTCGATTTGCTTCATGTTTCTTTCACCTCTTTTGTGGCTTGTTTTGCATCCACTGGTTTTAATCACGTACATCAAGCACCAATTAACGGGGACCCGGCGCGTCCAGACGGCCACATTAACCCAATCCCTGAGATCATTAGGGCGTTTTCGCCCAACTGCAGATAATCATTTGGGGCTTAACGGTGCTCTCCTTTTTTTTTTTCTTTCTTCGGGGGCCGAAAAAATGAATATTCATCGCCGACGATTGGGTGATTTTTCAGGGCCCACCTGCACTTCGAGACTGCGAGGGGGAAGGAGATGTTGCTCGATGTATACGTTTTCGTCCTCCTGATGCAAAACTGTTAACATATACCATACTAGCCACTGCACCAACCAAATTCTCCTTGCAATCCATTGAACTTCTGAATACTAGTATTATTGCTTTTCAAATATACACATAATCACATACGCACTGCATTTTTCTGGTCCAGAAACCTCCACCACAACCTTCAAGGTACGCTCGCATTGTTACTGAACAAACTTACGCCAATAATTACTTCCACTGTACGTCTCTTCAACTCCACTGTTTAACGTCTGTCCGAAACTTGCAGTATATTTCATTATAAATCAAACCTCTGCATACTTATTTTTACTCAACATAAGACTCTTCGAACTCAACATCTCCACGTCCTACTCTTGCTTTTTTTCACATATGATTTTTATTTTTAATTCGTCATCAAACTTTTATTTTACATTGTACGACGTAACATTATTTTTCGTTATCTT